TTCCCCCCCCCTTCCCCCCAAAGGGCTCTCCCCTTTCCCAGGTCCATGTGTCGAGGAGTCCATCCGTGTCCCCTCAGATGTTCTCCCTTCCCCACTTTCCCAGGGTCTGCCTTAGCAACCAGTATCTCCTTCTTTCCCAGGAGTCCGCCTCAGATATTTCCCCCCCCCCCTTCCCCACTTCCCCAAGGTGCTCTCGCCTTTCCCAGGTCCATGTGTCGAGGAGTCCATCCGTGTCCCCTCAGATGTTCTCCCTTCCCCACTTTCCCAGGGTCTGCCTTAGCAACCAGTATCTCCTTCTTTCCCAGGAGTCCGCCTCAGATATTCCCCCCTCCTCCTTCCCCACTTCCCTAAGGTGCTCTCGCCTTTCCCAGGTCCATGTGTCGAGGAGTCCATCCGTGTCCCCTCAGATGTTCTCCCTTCCCCACTTTCCCAGGGTCTGCCATAGCAACCAGTATCTCCTTCTTTCCCAGGAGTCCGCCTCAGATATTCCCTCCCTCCCCCTTATCCACTTCCCTAAGGTGCTCTCGCCTTTCCCAGGTCCATGTGCCGAGGAGTCCATCCGTGTCCCCTCAGATGTTCTCCCTTCCCCACTTTCCCAGGGTCTGCCTTAGCAACCAGTATCTCCTTCTTTCCCAGGAGTCCGCCTCATATATTCCCCCTCCCCCTTTCCCCCACTTCCCCAAGGTGCTCTCGCCTTTCCCAGGTCCATGTGTCCAGGAGTCCATCCGTGTCCCCTCGGATGTTCTCCCTTCCCCACTTTCCCAGGGTCTGCCTTAGCAACCAGTATCTCCTACTTTCCCAGGTCCATGAGTCCAGAAGTCCATCTGTCCGCCTCAGATATTCCCCCTTCCTCACTTCCCCAAGGTATCCTTGCCTTTCCCAGGTCCATGTGTCCAGGAATCCATCCGTGGGCCCCCGGATGTCTCCCCTTCCTCACTTCCCTTAGGATATCTTCCAGCCTCAGCCTTCCCCAGGTTATGTATCCCTCCGTGATCTAGCCAGATGAGAACGAGGCCTTGTTTAGCTGGTCTACGGTAGAGACTGTCCAGGTGGGTGGAATTACAGGAGGGGACACACAGAAACTGCGTCCTGTAAATACACCCACCAAGACAGTCTAGACCGTAGATCAGCCAGACGCAGCCAAGCTACCGTCCAGTTCGGCCACCAAGGCCTGGTCACTCAGTGAAAATTTGGAAGTTCTATTTATATTATACAATTTTTCTACATTAAATATAAGATTTTTTTACTTAATTAGCAGTTCAAGTGTGATTGTGAATGTTTTTGTGTGTGTTTATGAGTATTCGTTTGTTAGTGTGTTTGTCCACCTCCACGAGAACTGTAATAAGTGTTGAACTTCTTATTTTCATTTGGTTATTTATCCTGTATATTCGCAAGACGCGCAGTGAGTTACAAGCGCCGCGAACAATGGAAATATATCACTTTGTCTGACTTTTTAGGTTATCCTGGGTAATTTACGCATATGTTACTTTGCATGATCATTTGTGTAACTATTTATGTATATCTGTACCTAAAAAAACTTACACACACTCTTATTTTCACTCTCATTTGCATATTTGTGCAACGGCAGCCTACGTGGTCACCATCATTCATACACGCAAAAAAAACAACGCAACTGCACGCACACACAAAACATATATAAAAACACTCATCAACCTCTTACACTAATATGAATGCAATCACAAGCGCCCACACAACACACACACAACACACATTTTATATTATATATATATATATATTATATATATTATATAATATATATTATATATTTATATATATATATATATATATATATTATATATATTGTTGTGTGGTGTGTGTGTGTGTATGTGTGTGTGTGTGTGTGTGTGTGTGTGTGGGTAAGTCTTTATTGAATCCTGTACTTTCCTACATCTTCCACAACGTGTCTCCCCACTTAAACATATTTTGCAGTTGTATTATTAAGACTGTGTCCAGCAGTTGTAAACTGTACCAGAAACAAAAACACTGGGACAAAAGCTGTTCATTATTTTTGTTTTGTTTACAATTATTGTTTATATTTGTGTCCGTATGTGACTCTGTCTTCCCACCAAGCAATCTGCTACAAAAATGTCATCAGTTTCCTTTTTTGTGGCAGTTCGTCTTTTTATATATATGCAAGTCACTGAAATGTCCACAAGTAAACACGCAAGTACACAAAGTACACAAAGTACACACACACCACACACACACACACACACACACACACACACACACAATTCTCTCGTTCCACTGTGGATAATATACATGGAGAGAATTTCGGGGGTCACTGCCCCCGAGGCCCCGTCTGAGACCAGACCTCTAGAATATATATAAACACAATTTCTCCAGCACACGTATAATACTTAATATCCAACCCCTGTGTCACTCACATGTGTGCAAACATTCTCATGCACATATGTGTACTTTCTCACACAGACATCATGAGACCACACCTCTCCTTATAAGTGTATCTGCTCTATAGTATATTAGAGTGTAAGTCTGAGGGACTGCTGGTTCACCGGACTATAAAAATTCGAGTATAAATTACCTCTACTTGATAACAATAGTTATGATCTATGGTTTGCGGTGTTTTGTGATTTGCAGTAATGATTTGTGATTTAGAGTAATGACTGTGATTTTGCAGTGTTTTTAGTGATGTGTAGTGATATGTGATTTCCAGTTTGTATTTAAGTTATATTATAGATTTTAATTAATTCTGACTATCGGGATTGTAGAATGCTGTTACATAGTATTTTATAGTTATCCTTAATGGATAAAATTGAAGATATAAGGAAGTACAGTTGAGAGAGTCTTGTAACTGATGTAGCAGAAAACATTCCTTGTGATTATTACATAATTTTTAATTTTTCCCGTCTTCTCTTCTCTCAACTTCAACTATATGAGATAAATATTCACAAAACAATAAAAAAGAAAGATAATAGATGTACCAACTGGGAGATCAACCTCTCGACAAAAGTGATTGTTGAGTGGATGTTACAACCATGGCCAGTACAACTTGTCTTAATGTCTTCAATAATGCTGGTTTTATGTATTACTGTTATCTTGCTCTACTATTCCCTTTTATTTTTATTGTATTGTTCTTGTATGTTCTTGTGTGATATTTATTGTACGGCTGTACTGTTCTGCTGTATGTTACTGTATTTTTACTTATGGGTTTACAGTTTGTTCTTGTGTGTTACTGTACTGTCAGTTTTGGTTGTTCTATAGTTATTATGGGTACTTTTTACACATGTTCTTCATTATTTATTTTTTGTTGTTTTCCGTCGCTCGATCAATCACAATCTTGAATATTCATTCCTTGGTATAATCAAAACAGGCAAGATACACAAACACTATTATTTATGTGTTTGTATTGCGTCCTTGCACGTTCACTAGTAATTTGCCTGTGTATTATGTTACTCACTGTTAACATAAGAACATAAGAAAGGAGGAACCACTGCAGGAGGGCCGGTTGGCCCTATAGAGTCTTTACAATTCTTCCCACTAACAAAATATTTAGCCCTAACCAAAATTTTTCAAATGCTCCAGAATAAGCTGTTGAGTGATAAGTCCCACTCATATCCAACCCCTCCATCTTGTACTTATCCACCTAAGATTTGTAAATACCCAAGTCCCAGCCTTCATAACCCAACTAGGTAGACTGTTCCACTCATCTCTACACCCTATTTTGCAAACCAATACTTTCCTTTGTCCTTTCTAAATCTAAACTTATCAATTTCAATCCCATTACTGCGGGTTCTCTTTGAGAGACTGGTCAAGACCTTAACTTAATATTCCCCCTGTATTAATACCTAATCTTCCACTTATACATTCGATAGGTTCCCCTCATTCTTGTTAACAAGTTGATGTAACTTAGAGTCTTCAATCTTTTTCTAAGGAGATTTCTATGCTATGTATTTTATCTAGTCATCCTACGCTGAATGTTTTCTAACGAATTTATGTCCATTCTGTATATGGAGAGGACCAGACCTGAGCTGCATAATCTAGGTGAGGCCTTACTAATGATGTATTAAAGCTGCGTATGCCTCTGGACTTCTGTTGCTTACACTTCTTGATATAAATCCAGTAATCTAGTTTGCCCTTATTTCGTTATGCTTCGCATTGCTGTCTTGGTTTAAGGTTGCTGATCACCTAACCTCCAAGTCCTTTTCGCAATCTGTATGGCTAAGTTCTAATCATTTAACTGATAGTTAATGGGTTATGGCACTCCCAAGCTTCAGAAAACCTTGCATTTATCTACATTGAACTGCATCAGCCACTTTTTTGACCAAGAATGAGTTTTTGTTTAATTCCTCCTGAAGTTCCATAACATCTAACGTGGAATCTATTATCCTACTATCTTTGTGACATCGGCGAAATTTGCTCATATACTATTAATTCCTCATCAAAATCATTGATATTATTATAACAACAACGGGCCCAAGATGATCCCTGTGGAACGCCACTTGTTACAGATCCCACTCGGAGTTTAACCCATTTATGGACCACTCTGTGCTCTGTCAATGAGGCCATGACTCGATCACGAGAGCACTTTTCCCCCAATGCCATGAGCTGCCACTTTCTTTAACAGTCTATGGTGCGGAACTCTAACAAAAACCTTACTTAAAAATCTAAGTAAAATAATATCAAATTCTTTACGTGAGGTCACAGCCTCAAAAGCTTTACTGAGAAAGTTAATTTAATTAGTTACACACGACCGGCCCTCGTGTGAATCCATGCTGAGTATCATTAATCAGCTATGCTTATCGAGAATGGCTTCTTACAATTTCGCTATAATTGATTTGTAATTTGACTACCATTGAGGTCAGGCTTATTGGGCGGTTTATTTGACGGTAACGACTTGTCTCCCTGTTTTAAAAATAGGGAATTACATTAGCCATCTTCACATATCAGACACTACACCAGTTTTGAAGAAGGATAAATTAAAAATATTAGTTATTGGTTCACAAGAGTTCCATTTTGCATTCCTTGCGTGTTGCCGTACAGTTTTTCTTGCATCCCCCCCTACTTTACTGTTCTTGTATATGACCATGCTTGCTGTGTTGTGGAGGTGAGGGTAAGAACTTCACATTATTATTTACATCAAGCAGTTCAACTGTCCCACTGAAAAGTGTAGCGTTTAGGTTAGCTGTGCTAATTTTTTAGTTAGAGGATTAGCGGGTTAGCGAAGCTAATTTTTGGTTAGCTGTGCCCACCGCTGTTTTTTTTAAGTTAACGTAGGGAAGTGTCTCAAGATCGGAACATCTCAACAGTTAAATTTACTTTTTTCAAATTTTCGTTTATTGCATTGAGAACACCATATTCGTTTGGCTTCAAATTTTCAGTGCTGATGTGTTGTATCCGGCAAGATTCTTGGGCATATTTGCGTGCCTATATGCAATAATACAAAACCCCATCCAAATTTTCTTTCGTGTGACAAACTGTAAAATGGCTCCTCTCATCGGCATTGATATTTTACTGTGTATCCTACTAAAACAGTTGGTATATTTAATGGAATGGATTGCTGATGTACCACAACTATTCTTCTCAAAATTGGTTTTAGAATTACTTTACATTATTTACATTATTTTCCCATGACATACCTAATATTTAAAGGGGGTGGACGGTAAGCCAGCGGAAGGCTCGGTCAGATGACCAGAAGCTCCTACAGCGGTCATCATCGAAGAACCGCGGTCAGGATAACACTTGTCCTGTTTCCTGACGAACTTACCTAACCTAACTTGACACTGGTGGGGTGGTTCTTACCCAAATGGATTCTCTTACTTTTTTCTTGATTGGAATTTAAATGCCTACTATTTCAGAGCGCGTTAAGCATTGTTCTTGACTTACATGTAGAAATTAGGAAAGGCATATCAACTTCTGTGGCGATCTTTAAACTTTTTGTCCTGATGTGT